GAATCCTGTCTGTGTTTCCTGTCTGCTTTCAGGAAAGCCCAGTCAGGATAACCACACTGCTCCAGGGCAGGGCCTCCAGACTTGGAGGCAGTGCTTAAAAGCCTGAATTTTGCCTGAAACTCTCAGACTGAAGAAGTCTCTTGGAGGAGAGACGAAACGTTTCATTAGAGAAGAACCCGTCCAGAGGACCTATACAATTTTTTCTTTTTGATTTTTTACCTGGATTACTGAGATGCATCAGGTCATCTTTAGTAAAGGCTGAAATCAAAGAACTAAATGGAGCAAATTCAAGTTCCTCAAGTTCGAAACTGTTTGTTCAAAACGTACTCGTGTTTCATCATGTCAGCAGAGCTGTATTACATTATTATTATTCAATCACACATGCACACACACATTCACACACACATTCACACACTGATTGTGGTAAGCTACAATGTAGCCACAGCTGCCCTGAGGCACACTGACAGAGGCGGGGCTGCCATGCACCAGCACCACCATCAGTAGGCAAGGCGGGTGAAGTGTCTTGCCCAAGGACACAACGACTGAAACAGCTGGAACGGGAGATCGCACTGGCAACCTATCAGTTACAGGACAACTCCCCTAACCATTCCACCACATTTGTGCGCAGTTTGACTTGAAGACAACGCCAATTTGAATCAGAAGAAAAAAGTACTTTGGAGGTTTTCAGCCACTTGCATCCCACCGCTAAACTGTTTTAAATGAGAAAATTTGACATAACAGTTTGGAAGCTAATGTTTGGATTTCAACAACAAAACCAGCTGTTGTTTCTTTACAGCAAATACTGATGAAAAGTAGAGATAAATCTGGAAAAATGAAGTATAAGAGCTACAAGAAGCTGCATAAATACGTAATATTTTGTTTTAAATTTGGGGTGGCCCAATTGAAACAGGTGACGAAAAAGGAGGAACTTCCTGCTTTGTTTGTACGAACTCCGAGTCTTCTTCTTTCACCCAAAGTGTCTCAAAATAATCTAAAGCCTCATTTCTACTGTCTATTAGCAATCGTAGCAATGCTCTGCTTACAGGCAGATTGTATGCTGCTGATTTGTGGAGAACACCAAAATTGAAACGAATATATCGAAAGGTCTCTCCCGTCCGAATCCGCACCCCCATCTTTAAATCCTCTGGCACTTGTCCACCCACTGCATTTCAAATCTGATTTAACCCCTCCAAGACTTAAAGGTTTCAAGTTCTGGATCCAAAAACAGGCTTCATGGACTGAATGAGCTCTTGGCTGCTTTGACACATGCACACGGATACTGCTGAAGGGCAGGACGTGGAGAAACAGAGGAAAAATCAGGAGAGGATCAGTGGGGATGTCCAAAACAAAGAGCAGAACGGAGTGGCCTTTTGGCATGCTTGCCAAGCGTTGGCACGTCTGCTAAGCCCACAGCTGTCTGTGTGTGTGCGTGTGTGTACGTGTGTGTGTGTGTGTGTGTGCATTTTGTATAACAGCAAAAGCCATGGATGTCTGCAGCAACATGAAAGAGAGAGATCAAGCGTGCACTCAGTTGTCAGACCCTGTCAGTTAAATGGTTGCACTATTCTGAGCTGTAACTGAAGAATGTGTGTACTTCCCCTCTTCGTTACAGATTTCGATCTTTATAACAATAACGTTTGCGATGCATTAAATATCTAATAAGCTTTAGAATTTCAAAACTTTTAATCACATCCGTTATGTGGAAAAATCAAGTCCTTTTTTTTATCAGTTCTCAAATATATTCACAACAAAATGTTAAGTAATCATACCTGGGTCTTAAATCCCCCTGTTGATAAGTTATTGTAAAAATGCATAAGCTTAACACTAACAAATGTGCTTTTTATTATTTGTTCACGCACTGTTTCTTTTGACGTTTGATGTTTTGCAGTCTGTCAGCTGCACACACTGTTTCCCACAGCCTCATATTGACTGACAGAGGGAACCCATTTCTTTGGTGTGAGAACATTTGTTGGTTTTTGTTTTGTTGTTTTTCAAAAAAGCAAGAAAAAAATGAAGCAAAATCGGGTTTAACCTGAAACCTAACCGAAGAGCCTGCGTCATGCTTACAAGAAGAACTTGACTTGTGTGTTTGAGATTAATCACTGGTACAGTTGTTGGAGATGACTACCAGAATGGAACTCAAGTCTAGGCAGGTCAGAGATAAATGACTCTGGTTTCATGTGACTTAAGCTGGATGTAACATTGACAGCTCAGCTGAAAAACTGTAACAAGAGGGGAGAAAAAAAGACCATTTCACAGTTATTGTAAAACAAAAGTTCATTTTGAGTGGTAAAAAACAGTGAGTTTTCACCAAAGTAATCTCATTTACATGTAAAAAGTTTTCAGGTTAGTCAAAAACATTTTTTAAGAAAACAAACAATGCTTTCAAATGTGCATTTCATGTTATTGATCTTAGACTCTTGGACTCACAAGTAACTCTTATGTGAAGTATGAACCAATATTCTAACGATAACAAAAAACAAGATCAACAAGATTTTAAATATAATTATAGCAAAAAATTCCATAAATGGTGCTTACAACAAACTTGAGCTGTGCTATGCACAAGCAGTTTTAATCAATATATTATTTAAATTTGATAAAGTGGTAGAGAGGTTTTCCTCTGTTTTGTAGCTCACTAATATGCTGTATGCTTTATGACAAAAAATTAAAATATTTTTATTTAAATTCCATCTCAACGCTAAAGATTTTGTGTTACATTAATACTTTATAATTGATTCCTATTTATTTATTTTAACTTTATAATTTATTCATAGAGGGAGCACTTTGTTATTTTTTTTCCTTCTGAGGGAGGGCCGTAGATGGCAGCTCTTTTTAATTAGGCGGAGGGATATAATATCAGTCTTTATGAATAACGTCTCTGAGGCGCCGTAATAACAAAAGCAAAACTCAAAATAAAGCCTACCTCTACTCACAACCAATCAGCGACGAGATCGCGCACACCGCAGCCAATGGCTGATCCCAGGGCGCTCGCGCACAGCCATTTGAAGGGCGGTCCTGTGCAGGAAAGTATGGATCATCAAATGTGGAGTTTCGGTGAAGAGGATAGGTACTTCACTGCGGCTATAAATTATCGAGATATTTGTGTAAATAATAACGTAATAGGTATGTTTTAAGTTACGGTTTTTATTTGTTAAACGCTGCACTTACACGAAGTTAGTCAGGTGTGTTTTTGACAAATTAAGTCGTGAAAGTTATCAATACCTTCATGGCTTTGATAGCGACTGACCAGAGCTGCAAACCGAACGGAACTTCGGTTATTTATAACAGAGTTGGGGCGAGAAAAGACGTAATCCAAGTCCCTTTGGACGGGATTCAAACGAGCCAAATGCAACCTAAAGAGACCGATTATTCAACAGACGGGCTGCCCAAAGCTTTCCTGCACAGTTTAAGGACTCTTTTTGACATTTTGGACGACAGTGGACGAGGCTATGTGCACATCTCGGAGATTGAGAGTCGCTGGCAGGGTGCAGACACCAGAGACCTGCCAGGCGGAGTGCTGGGCTGCCTCAGGAGGGTCACCCCACCGCACGGCTGTCTCACGTTTGAGCGGTTCGTGGCCGGGCTGCGGTACTCCATGCTCAACCCGGAGAACAGCTCCCACTTCAAGGCCCAGGCTGCCGTGCACCCTCTGCTGCAGAAACCAGCCGCCCTGGTCGTACATCGAGCCGAGAACAAGGTCCGTCCGCTGGGACCGAGCAACGTGACGAACACCCAGCAGCAGCACCGGGGGTCCTCCGTCCGGGCCAGGCCGGAGGAAGGATATCCCGCGTGTGGACAGATGCGGTACGGCGCGGGCTTCCAGAGATCCGGGCGGAGTTTGGAGCGAATGCCCGCAGCTCCGGAGGATGGGGGTTACCGGGCCGACCCGGTCCATCATGGCACCAAAGCAGCACAGCCTCAGCAAAGCAGGATCAGGGCCATGGAGTCTCTGGCCCTGGAGTCCCCACAGCTCCCTCAGGATCCATGTAAGTGGCCAGAATAAAACGAGTTTGTTCCCTCATCTAGTATTATAGTTACTCCTAACAATAACATTTAACATCCAGGTATATTATGATTAATATACTCTGAAAAAAACTACACAAAATACATTTAGGAAACATTTTTCACAATATAGTTATATAGTTATTTATATATAGTTAGTTATACATATGTCAATATAGTTATCATGAACATTATTTATGAAACTCCGGACTATTTTGCACGTATTATTGCAAAAATCAATTTAAAGTGTGAAAATGTTATCTTTAGTTTACAAGTTTGTAAAAACAAAACTTACTGACAGACTAATTTACTCTTTACACAAAACTTTGTTCTTTAACCAAAACCATTTTTTTCCTCAACTTTTTTTCAATTTGTAGTTTTGGTTTGAATGCCAAATTTGATTTGTATAGTTTGTCAATTACTTGAACATTTTAATATGCATTAACAACTAAAAACTCAGAATAAAAAATATTTTAATCGAAGATGCTTTTCGTGGCACTCGATGACTGTCTAAAACACAAAATAAAAGGCAACAAAAACAAAAGATTAAATTACAAATAAAATAATAAAGGTGACGATGAGAGATGGAGGTTAAACTGAATATACCTGTGTTAAAGGGTTCCCTTTCAGTCAATTCACTCGGTACAACATCATGTATGGGAACCACGCCCCTACGTGTCCTGGCTGAAGCCACCTCTAATCACGCCTTTAGGCAGGTGACGTGATGACGACAGATGTCAGGCTCCGCCTGCACATATAAATATTGTCGCATCACCGTCACTCCTTAGTTCTACTGCTCTTCACCTCGCTAGAACACCTCTCTCAACTTAGCTAATTAGCTAATTAGCTGCTGCTAATTAGCTTTGTTTGTCCGAAGGATCTGGAATTTAGCTTAACAGCTTTAGTTGGTGTTAGTCGCAGCTGCCTGCCAGTAACTG